TTATACAATTAGACATTTTAAATTAAATTGCTAAAATTAATTTTTTTTAAAAAAAATAAATAATTTGCCTTTATTCAGTACGATTTCGGTCTTGTATGGATTTTACTAGTCCTAACCCCGCCAGCCCTTACCTTATTTGTTCTAAAAATGTCTCTTATTCAGTCTTGTCCAGTCCATTATTGATCCGGTTCGAGTTTTGACAAATGCACATCTCTAATGTGCATGAATCTAGTGTATTTAAAGTTTGTATGGAAAGATTGTTAAAGCTCTTCTATTGAAATTATTATTATTACTTATTACTTTTACTAGTATCACACCCGTGCGTTGCACGGGTTATTTTTATGTTATAAATTCAGATCATTTTTCAATGATAAAAACTGAAATGCAATAGAATATAGAGATTATATTATTTCAAAGTACAGAACATCAATGTTTTAAAAATTTCGAAAGACTTCTTTATATACTACATTATGTGTAGTATTTGTGGGAGTATCGTCTTCATTGCATATCAGAATCTTCAATCCACTACGATTAGTTACTCTTGAAACTGCAACATAGAGCTGTTCATGACTAAACACAGGTTTCCGTAACAGTATTCCAACATATTTCAGAGATTGTCCCTGGCTCTTGTTAATCGTCATTGCGTACGAAGTAACCACAGGGAATTGTCTTCTTTGAAACTTGAATGGAATTCTTGTATCGGACGGTGTTAATGATAGTCTTGGAATAACAACTTCTTCACCCATGTGGCTTCCTGATAATATTTTTCCAACCGGGTTACTATCAACCGTGTACCATTACACAAACCCATTGAATGGTCAATATTTCTCAACAACATAATAGGCGTGTTTACCTTCAGAGTTAATTCGTGATTCGGTACACCTGAAGCACGAATCTTATTTAAGAATTTGGGACAACCAAGATAACACCATTCATTGGTGTTTTCAATTTCAATAACATCACCAAGTATCCAATAATATCCTTTCTGATAATAAGAAATAAATCAATAAATTTGTATTACTATTAAATATATATATTTGCGTGTAGTAATTATATTAAATAAAGAAAATCAATCGTCTATTAATATTATTAGTGTATTTATTAAATTATATCTGTACATAATTACTAATTCCAAATAAGAATGGTATCCCGTTTTTTCATAAATTAGGAAATTAGAAAATACGTCTAATTAATTTAGGTATTTAAATGGAAATTTGTATTTTTTTTCCTTTTTGGTCTCTCGTGACTACTTAAATTGTATTTAAATATTTTAATTATGCCATAATTTACTTTCTGCAATACTAAATTATCAACAGCTCATAAAAATTAAGCTTATTCAGAATTTTTAATCTAACGTAAACTGCAAATAGTGAATTTAATAAATTTTCTTTTTATTACTCGGGTATTAAAACTAAATTAAAATTATTTAAAAAAAGGAACACGTATTTCCATAATTGCCATAGATGAATATGCAATATATTTAAGGTGAAAAGTAAATTATTTTTTTATAAAACATGTAAAGAAATATGTCTTACATTGCTCATGTTTTTTAGTTCATGAATGGAGACCACTTTCAAGTTGTTCGTTCTTTTATCATCTCTTGATCTTGATTGTGTTGAGACGATACTACAACTTTGGGTTAAGTGAGTAGCACTTAACATTAACCTGCATGATTACAATTGTTAAAAATTTAAACAACACGTTGATTATATTTTTAGAAATAAAAAATCTGCAAGAATACATGTGGACTTACTTTTCTCTCCAAACTTTAACTTCATCACACTCATAATTGAGTAAAACCTTGCTCACAGAGTAAAATGTTGTAACAAACACTTGCTCTAAATGATTTGAAAAAAAATACAATTAGAATTATATCATTGGGTACATGTCGTTCAAAATTAAATTGAATTAATTTATAAATATATACCATTGCAGAACTTAGGTTTCACCATCTGCAACACCAAAATTGGAAGGGTCGATTCCGATGCACTCAATCCATCAATGAAAACATTGACGTGATTTCCCCATAACGTACAATTCAACCGAACGCCACTACAAAAAAAAGTTATAATTATTTTTAAATTTAATCTGTGTCACATTTTTTTAGTAATTAGCTAACCACGAAATAATGTATCATACAATTGAATTATTTAGTAATTTTTTTAAATTATAACATTTTTTTAATTAAAATGAAATTGGTTATTAAAAAATCACTTACTTGTAGTTCTCCAAGGTAACTTCCATCATTTGCTCCGGGGCATTTTTAACCATACGGGTTTCAGGCACAGTTCGACTAACTACTTTCCCGATTATATCTGAAAATCCATAAAAATACAATTTTAAAAATTTCAGAATCATAATACATAAAATGTATTTCATATGTGTAAGTATTTAAGTTATGTAAATGTTAATGACCCTTACCAACTAAAAAGACTTGGTCAGCAAACTTTGTTTTGAGAACATCTTCAAAACTCTTAAAGTAGAATCGAAAATTAGGAAATCCATTATCTGATAGTTTTTGAATCTTGGTCTTTCCCAGAAATTGGAGCATGCAAGGGTGATTGGTAGTTTTTGTGCCTTGGGAATTGCGTAAAACCTTGACCCTCATGATTAAATAAACCACATTTTCTTGCAAATCTTTTTTGAATGTGCTTATATCAGAATCTTTGATCTGAGCATGGATCCGAGAGCCCTAACAACAAATATAAGACGTTAATCTATAATTAAATTTATTTATTTTTGTTTAAAGATGTATTATTTGTAAAATATAAAACAATGTAGAACTTACCTCTGAGTCATGGAAAACAACATCTAACGATTCCGGCCCTCGAGAATGAGCAGCAACATGGTAAACTCTAATTGCTCTTAGCTTCATCATCAACAACCCGGAATCTGCATGAACATTTTTTATGGCGGTAATCATCACTCCCATCTCCAACCAAAAACTGAGGAAAGCACCGAATATATTAAAATAATAACTCTCTAAAACTATCGTTTCCTGAACACTCGTTTAATTTTCTGGGACGGTAAAGTAGCGTATTTATACTATCCACGGTAAGTTAGCGTATGAAATTGTGGTAATTACAATGTACCGTGCATTAATACTGTGTATTAATATATGGAAAGTTTTATTACCTACTACCTATTAACAATAACGTGTTTTATTACCTTTTTAATAATATTAAAATTAAAATTACAAAGTTTTATTACCTATTACCTATTACCTAATTACCTAATATATTTTATTTTAAAAATTTAATACCATGTATTAGTACCGCGTATTAAATAAGTATAATAATGGAAAGTCTAGAACATAATTTCGTGTATTAATATATTTTTTTTAAATGTAAACACGGTTCTTTCCTTATTAACATTCCTTATTAATAAAAGCATTTAACAATTTTAAAAAATACGGTTTTATTACCTTTTTAATAATATTAAAATTAAAATTACAAAGTTTTATTACCTATTACCTATTACCTAATTACCTAATATATTTTATTTTAAAATTTTAATACCATGTATTAGTACCGCGTATTAAATAAGTATAATAATGGAAAGTCTTGAACATAATTTCATGTATTAATATATTTTTTTAAATGTAAACACGGTTCTTTCCTTATTAACATTCCTTATTAATAAAAGCATTTAACAATTTTAAAAAATACGGTTCTTTCCTTATTAACAGTATTAATACGGTTTTTTAAACACGGTTCTTTCCTTATTAACATTCATTATTAATAAAAGCAATTAACACATACTATATCAAAAAATAAAAGCATTTAAACATACCTTTTGTACTTTGACTCAAATTTACTTACAATGTACCGTGCATTATTACTGTGTATTAATATATGGAAAGTTTTATTACCTATTATCTATTACAATACCGTGTTTTATTACCTTTTTAATAATATTAAAATTACAAAGTTTTATTACCTATTACCTATTACCTAGTTACCTAATATATTTTATTTTAAAATTTTAAAATACCGTGTATTAATAATGTGTATTAATACCATGTATTAGTACCGCGTATTAAATAAGTATATTAATGGAAAGTTTAGAACATAATTTCGTGTATTTTTTACTATTTAAAAATGTAAACACGGTTCTTTCCTTATTAACATTCCTGAATAATATCGTTTATGGTTTATATTATTTAATAGTACCTATTACAATACCGTGTTTTATTACCTTTATAATAATAATAAAATAAAATTACGAAGTTTTATTACCTATTACCTAATTACATATTTTATTTTAAAATTCCTAAATTAAAATACCGTGTATTAATACTGTGTATTAATACTATGTATTAGTACCGCGTATGAAATAAGTATAATAATGGAAAGTTTTGAACATAATTTCGTGTATTAATATTTTATTTTTAAATGTAAACACGGTTCTTTCCTTATTAACATTCCTTATTAACATTCCTTATTAATAAAAGCATTTTACAATTTTAAAAAATACGGTTTTTTAAACACGGTTCTTTCCTTGTTAGACAAATATACCGTGTATATTATTTCGGCCGAGACACATGTGGTTAAGATCATTAATTAGTACCGTATACATTGGAATTACCATATGTGGTTAAGATAATTTAAGTTTGTCATTACTAATTACCATATGTGGTTAAGAATTACCAAATTTTATGCACCATGAAATGAGCGGGAAAAACCCATTGCAAATTCATGGCTTTTTAAATAATAGATAGATTAAAATTAGATTAACCAAACTCAAATTATAATTATAATTTGAAATATAATTAGATTCAATCAGACCGGATCAAACCTTGATAAAATTATTTTAATTAACTAAGACGAAGTTAACAAGTTCTTACTCCTTCCATCCCTAGACACTTTGGCTTTTTGTCACTTTTAGGTTAAACCTTGCAAATTGTGGTCATAATTTAGATTGAATATACATTTAAGTTATATAATGTGAACTTCATAGTATTAAATTTATTTTGAAATATAGTTTTATAATGTACTCCTTAGTATGTATCATATTTATGATATCTAGCCGTCGAAAAATATTTATGATATCGATTTATATTTAACCATGGATATTGATTATCAAAATATGGTCTTGAAGAGGCAAACGTTTTAGAAACAAAGAGAATACGGTTAAATCAAAACTCCTATCCTGTTTTGAGATATACGCAGTAGTAATCAAAATACACAAGAAATAAGAGTTTTGGTAAGATAGAAAACACACAGGCCAAATTGCTCCAACACGCATTAAAACTCCAATCACAACTTTTAATTCATAGCAATGAGGATGGGTGCAGCGCTATTCTGGCTCAAAAGCTACCAACCGGATTTCTGATATTTGATTTTGGAGTAAGTGGAAGCAAATTCTGTACATGACTGAAGGGGAGGTGTAACTGGTTGTTGCAAGTGGGAATCTTGCTTGCTAATGATGTTCTGGCTTCCTGCTCTTTGGTCATTTGAGCACCTGCTGGATCCTGAATGAACACAACACAAAAACAGTTCAAGAAGGCGAGAATAAACGCATTTTCGCAGGCAATGTTTTGATGTTTTAATGATTCTTAAGAGTTAAAAGGAATGAATATTCACATTGTGTCAGGACAGGGAGTAAAAGGAATGATCAAATGAACATACCCCGGCGTTTTCCTTTGAAGACTTCCAATCAATGCATGCTGCCAAACCACCTCTGGTTTCATCTGATGGTTTGAGGTTCTCTTTGGAATGCTTTGCTTCGAATGGATTCCCTTTCTTCTCAGCTGATTTAAGTTGAAGTTTTGGATCATCGGACGATAAAACAACCTTTGAGACACTTCTTGTAGCAGAATCCTCCTGAATTGTTTTGGTTGGAGGGGATGATGATGACAACAAATTGGTAACATCAAATTCATTCTGGTCTTGTACAGGGGTGTCTCCAACCTTGTTTTGACACATCATATGCCTGTAGTTTCCGCAAAGAGTGAATATGTTCTGAATTCTTCTTTCCCTATAACAGTCAGAACCCTTTTCATTTTCATCTGCATCCTGAAATCTAGAGGCGGTTGCAGGGTTTTCTTCTTCTAAATGATTGCCCAAGTGGCATAAGAAATCTGGACATATTGCCTTCACCTCCTCAACCACCTCCTTTTGCACCTCATCGTCGGTGGAAGTTGTCATATCGTCGCCATCTTCTTCTTCGTCCTCCTCCTCGAACACCGTACTTAAACCTTTTTTGTTAGTGAAAGTAGGTACCTCAGTGATGGCATCTTCAACAATTGCATTGGTAACATTTTCGTAGTTACAAGCTGCATTGAGGCTATTGTGCTCTGTTGTTCTATAGACCCCAGGTTCACGTTTTGTCACTTCCAGATCATAAGACTTGGACAAGTCCATAGACTTCACCATATCTGAATCATCAGAATAGGCGTCCAACATTCGTTCTGCAAAGCTGCTTGCCCCAAGGTCTACTGATCCAGTTTTACCACCTTTGGCACAACAAAGGTCAAACTCAATCTCTTCCAGGCGCCTTCTTAGCAAGTCAACCTCGCGTTGCTGCTGAAGAATTCGCTCTTCCATCTTTTTCCTTTCCATTTCTACAAACTTGTTGGCCATTTGCTGGCACTCTTCAATCTTCTTCTCCAATTCACTTTTCAGCATCATAGTTCGCTCGTTTACCACAAGGTCAACCTCCACAGGGCCTTCTGCTGCAGCCAGTTTAGCCCTCAGTGCAGAAATTTCTTCTTCTTTCTTCCCCAGCTCGTTATGAGCTTCCATCCTCTCCTTCTCCCTGAGCTTGTTTTCAACCTGTAGCTTGCAAATGTACTGATCCATTGATGCAATTCTTGACACCAGAACAGCCGTTGATGTGGAGTTATCAGCACCACCCTTATCTTTGATTGGTGTGGAAGGACCACGAACGATGCATTTCGCTTTCGCACCATATTCAAGGGTGGAGATGGTCTTGTGCAGCTCCTTTGGATCCGGGCTGGCACACAAAATCATTAGAATTTTTGACTTGTCATCTTCAAAAGAATCCTGCAGAAAATGAAAGAACCAATATCAGAAAAGCAGAAGATGAAATGGACCAGAATAAGATTTCCAATTCGGTTACTTTAGTTGCAAAAGATCATATACACCTGTAAAAGCATGGTCAACTTGCTGTCTCTAAATGGCACATGAGAATCTCCATTTGCAATGGATTCAACAACCCTCTTCAGTGCAATATTCCCCTGATTTATCTTACCGGTCTGCATTAAAAGCCACATAATGACTCAGCTACAGCAAAAAAGAAAAAAAATTGCCAGCTTGTTTGTAGGTTTACAGACTCATCCAAGGGAAGCCTAAGATAAAGCACAAAAGCAAGGCTTAAGCTAGACCATATTGGCAATATAGTATATCCACCTGCATTTTTGCTTCAAAACCAGTTTGACCAGCTTGTTCTATGTTTTCAGAACCTGCCATGTCAACTAGCATGAGCCGGCCTCCAACTGTTGGTACGTCGAGAATTATCTAAAAATGGGAAAAGGAAAGAAGAAAATGAGAATGCATTATTTACAGGAGAGCGAAGGACTCGTGTGCCATGTTATTAAACACATTACCATGCAATGGCTTCGCGAACTTCTCTCATTACTGAGAGTGCTCTTAACTATCCTTCTCTTTTCCACTTTCTGGATTTCCTTTGATATCTTGCCTGCTTGGTTCCCAGAAATAAAGGTTGCATTTTTAGCCTTCTTTCCCAGGACTTCCAACCTTACCTGCTGATGCAAAAACAAAGAAAACTAGCTACATACTTCCACAAATAAATCTGTGTCCCAAAAGAATAGAAACCACTTAAACTAAGCATATAATTTCCTGGCTACAGAATAACTGAAAACAAAATCTGCAAAGCTTTCAAACTACTTCGGCATGCAATTCGCTACAACTACAGGACAGCATCACTACTAAGCTATCAAGAACTGTGTGTGAATAAACTGGTAAGGAATTACTGGATATAATACAAACTACCCCTTTTAAGTGGGATCACTTACAAAGTAGATCAATTTTTTAACTGCAGACTTTCATACAAAATGCTCAATGTAATTAACTAACATCATTCGGGATACTTAATTTAAGCCAAAAAAGAAGGCAAATGATCATTTTTTAGGTTTCTGAGAACATTAACAATCACGCAAAGATTACAAGGATTATTCAGAACCCCTAATTCAAAGCTTAACAAAAGTCAGCCAAGAATTAGTAAAATTAGTAGTATTTTCCTTAGAGGCAAGACAAAACGTAACCCTATTATTATCACCTGCTGACAGCATCATAATACAATAATACAGAGTACTCAATTGAACTCTTTAACACAATCAATATCTCTATAAACCACTCTCTGCTTTTCTTTTTTTATGAAAAAGGATGGGTCATTAGAAGTCAGCTCTTTTCAACTTATTTTTGGTGAAGTTCAGTTCATCTCAGCACCTTCCCGTTAAAATTACCACTAACTTTTGAAAAGAACACACTCTAGTTCATAGTACTTTCAGGGAAGGTTCTCTCTCTTATGCCTAATCGTGTTAACTTCTTGTCCATCAAGAAAGAAAGAAAACTGTATAATCTTTCAGGTTGATAAAATAATAGAAGATGCAATCTTTTCCAATCAAACCAAGTCGGGTGGGACGATTGAGTCTGTAAATAAGCACACCAAAACTATTGTTTGAACTTCCCATTTCAGAGTGAAACTATTACTCCATGTCAAATTGCACTTGTGAGATATGATGCTTGGGAGCAGTCTGCTCCGGGAGCATTGACTTTTGGCAAATGATCAAAGCGAATTTCCAGTAAAATATACTACATGTCATTAAAGAAAACTGAAAGACTAAATAAATCCAATCTTACCTTAGAAGCATTTCCCTTAGGCCATCCAAAACCAAAACCGCCAACGTTGTTAGTTGACAAGAGATCATAAATCTCCTCATTATATATCTCCAAGACAGTGACCTGAACAAAAGCCCCCACTCCCTCGGCCACACTGTTCTCCTCACTCTCTTCGTCCCCTTCTCCTCCCAATATATCCTTCAATGACAGGTACACAATTCCGGGCTGCTTGGAGCTACCAAACATGGTGTGACTCTTACCGGAACCAGTAGGGCCATACATCATTACCGTGCAATTCGCACCCAATTTGACTCCATTTATCCTTTCCTGAACGAATTTCTTGTAAAATGTATTGAGATCTTCTTCTTCAGACAATGAAACTCCATCGAGGCGAAAGTCTCTGTACCCTGTCTCAGTCTTGACCCTCAAAGATTGGTTGTCAGCATTCAACTTTAAGGCCGGTTTAGGCTTCTCTTTCCGATCCGGGTAATCTCGAATCCGTCCAATGACTTCCACTGGGTGCTCCGCTGGCAGAGCTTCTTTGACGGCCGCTGAATTAGGGTTAGGAGATGGCTTGGCAGCGTTGAAGTTTAGGCGATGTTTGGATTGAGGCGTTTTCATATGTCCTATATGGGTCTGATTCGATTTTGCAGGAGTGGGTGCCATTAGCTCGTAAGATCGCTACTTTTTGGTAAATTCTTCTTGGGACTCGAACAAAACCGAGGGATCTTGAGCTCTGTATGTTATCTCGACGAAATTTTGAAATGTAGGATATCTGAATCTGAAATGCTACGGTAGAATTCAAGATTTTAGCTATGCGAAACAATGGAAATGGAGGAGAAGAAATGAAGAGATTTGGCTAAAATTCGGATCTTTCTTGATTGATTGACTAAAGGGAGGCCGCCCAGAGGTTGATGCAGGAGTAAGACGTTTTAGAGATTTTTTTAAATATCAAAATTCAAATTAAAAGAGACGTTACCATATATAACGGCTAGATTGCGAATCTTTGCAAGGCTCTATTTTGGCCCGATCCATAGTTTGGAATTAGGATCGTACGGTTTGGACGAGGCACAATGTGGATGTAGAGAGGAACCCGAATGAAACCATTTTTTCAGTAGGTTGTATCAATAGAAAATTCAGTTTACTCCTAACAATATTCGTTATTTTTTTAAAACAAAGGGTCGGGGTATAGCTTAAATAGTTTCAACATCTAGTACTTATAAGTGAGACTAAAACATTTAAAAAATAACAAAATATGACTTCCATGTTTTTATTCCCGATATAAGACTTAAATTATCAAACATGGTCATGTACATTACTAAAAAAATATAGTAATGTGCACATGTGCAGCATACATTACCACAGTGAAAAGTCTTATTTTGAAAAAAAAAATATGAAATTCCTATTTTGGTACTTTTCTCTATGTTTTAGTCCTATTTAGGGTGATTTCTATTCTTCATTTGATCTAAATATTTCTGATCTAATTAAAATAAGTACTGATTAGATCTGTTGTAGTTATATTTAAAGTTATTTCTGATTTTATCTGACATAGTCTGGTCTAATCTTAACTAAACTGATCACAATAAGAAAAAAAATCATAAGTAATAAGAATATGTTGAAGACCCATAACGTTAAACTCAATTTTTGCAACCATAGTTTTAAAAACTGGACCGAACTGGCCGGTTCAAACTGTGAATCAGGAAACCCGTGATCTAGCTAGTCCAGTCTAGAGATCTAGACACTAATACGCATTGAATCGGTCCAAACCTGTTATACCCCTGGATCGCTCCACCAAAATCTCAAACCATCCCTAAACATCCAAAATGCCTTTTCTTTTATTTCCTTTCAAATAAAGTCTTCCTCCACTTATTTTAAGTTCCTTGACCGAAAATAAGAAGACCACTTTTATTTTTTTTAAAGCCTTAAATAATCAAATAACACACTTCCCTTCTTGTTCCTACATAGGGATGAAATTCCAGCCCCATTTGGTTCCTAAAATCCAACCAAAATTACCATTTACCACAAAGAAAAAAAAAAATCAGCAAAAGGAGTCTAAAGTTGAATAGTAAAAGTTTCTCCTTTTGTTGACTAATTTCACAACCAAACATGCAGTGTACCTTCCTCACCTTTTCCCCTACAAAAGGCCGAAAACAATCCACCAAATACAGCCTAGAATATCTTCATATTAAGTTTCAAGTTATCCTTCTTGATTTTGTGTGCATAAGGCCGAAAATCCATAACTCATTTTAAGCCAAAATACTTTCCTTTCACAGCCACACCATGTTCCCTTGTCTTGCTCACTAATAGCCGAAATACTCTCTTCAAAACAAGCCAAAGGATATCCTCCAAATTCATCCAATATCTCCTTGTGATTTCATTCACTAGAGGCCGAACAAACCAGCCCCATTTTTAGCCAAATAACATCCCACTAAGCCCCACAATGTTTCCCACTTATTTGTGCTACATATGGACGAAATAGACCCTTCCAAAATAGGCCAAGTAAAGCTTTTCACAGCCTTGGACTTTCCTCACATGTGGCAGACATGCACACCCCAAAAAAAACAGCCAAAGGAAACCCTCATCCTTGTCATTAATGCACTCATTTGGATGCTGATTTGGGAAGGCAGTAGGAAGCTTCTTTGTTATTGTTTTCTTCTTCATTATTAATGAATTCTTTCCCCTTTGTAGTGTGCATATATAGCTCGGCCTTATGTCCATTGTAAGCAGCATATTTTAATTCAAAAACCTTGTTTACTCTTTTGAGTATTCTCTTAAAATAGTGTGATGCTATTTTAGCCAAATTCCTAATTCTATATCTTAAGAGTGGTTCTCTTAAGTGTGAGTTTTAGGTTCTAGATATTTAATTAAGTGTGTCATATCTTGATTGAATTCTAGATTCAAACCCCAAGTTAAGATAAGAGTGTGTTATATCTCTTAACACCAACTTGGTTTATCCCTTCACTTTACCTCTGCCAATTTCATTTCTCACCATTTCTTCTTCTTGAACTTATTCTTTTCTTTCATCAAAAACCCAAAAAAACAACTCTTTGTTCCACCCCCATATTTCGTCCCCCTCATTTCCTCTTCACCATTCCATAATTCCATCTTCAAATAGCAACTTGATTATACCCCGGGTCTCGGGTATAACA